CAGGCACATCAAAGTTGTACATTCTAGCCCGACGAGTAGTTTTATCTATACTACTTGTGTGGAATAACATGGAAACATGAATCGTAGGCTGTACGACGGAAAAGCTGAGAGTGCGCCAAGAGACACTGGGGAAGAAGGAGCTACCAAACTGGGCGGTTCGTGGTGATATACTAGTACTTCAGCACGAGCAAATGAATCGCTGGGCTAGCGGCCGAGAGTATGATTGTTGAACCACTGAAAAACTATAGAGTACATGTAATGCAGATCTACGCAACACAAACACAGCTTCTATTGCTTTATTCACAGTTAGACTCACACATGGTCAAAACCGTGCAAAATCCTGCTATTATATCTGGCCACTATTCAACAGTCGAATAAACCCTAAATAGAATCATTTGATAGACTTGTAAGTATGAATGATTAGCACGTACTAAGTGACCAGTATCACAATCAATAATCGATACCTTAGTATGAAATTCCTCACCCAAAACTAACTATTCACAGCTTGGTAAAGATCAGAAGACTAAATCGGTATCACAAAATACTACATTCACAAGTCTCAGAGAATATCTACAATAGAAATTTGTGAAGAAGGAAATCAATAAATATTCATGCACAATTCAATCTAGAATCCAGTTAGTCATGCGTGGCCCAGTCGTTCCCGTTTCATGCGAGTGGCAACGGCGGCCACCAGAGCTGCACCTCGGCCACTTCCATCCTCCGATAGCATCAGCTGATACTGAAATGTAACAAGAAATATTTCTCTGGTCTACTTCAAATCCCCGCAAACTAAGTTGTTTAGTCCGTGACTAAATCTACCCCTCCAGTGCCGTCCTTAGCATCGTCTTAGCATTCATTCTCCTGCTCGAATGGTGGCAAAATGCAAAAAGCAGAATTTACCTGGTCTAACACCTCCCCTTGCCCTGCCGCAGGACCAGCCGCATGCTTGACCAAACGTGCTATTGCCTGCGCCCTATTCAATTCGTTCTCTACCTCTGATTGCGTGCTCGCTGCGGGACTTTGGTATCGACGCAAGTTCTGCACATCAAGGGCACCGCGGAAGGAAAATGCAAACGGCATCCGAGTGTGACTATCCTCCAGCCCCGTTCGGGTACACTTGGAGCTCATAACCTATTCACCTCGCACTTGACAAGGACTGCCTAGGAGGTGAGTGCACAGTTTGTCTTCAGTCTATCGTAAAACATGACAACTGACCTCTATGTCGCCTTCTATCAACTGATCAATCTTTTCGTCCAGAAGACGAGGAAACGTCGGATGGAAACGAAATACAGACCCGTCTACACCAACAGTGACGTAAGGCCGTTTCATTCGGTTTAAAAGTGTAGCAATGGCAGCGGCAGTCAGATGAGCGGCTCTGCAACATATTCGTATAGAACTTGATTCTATTACTTAAACGAAACAAAATCATAAGTTTTTTAGCTAGTCCCATATAACACTACTTGTTGATATGGGACCCACTGTATTAAATAGCACTACCAAGAGAGCTCACACAGTTTCTCTCACTCGCTCTACGCATTAGGTGTTGAACACCCTTTCCTCGCTGTTCATATGTGCCGTCACGTGAAGTGCTGGTTTTCTCACTGATACGCTCCTCTCAGTCGCCACCTCAACAGAAGTGATCCGGCAGACATGATAGGTAGACAATTGTCCAAGTGACTTCGCCCACAGGACCAGCACGGAATAAGGTTGAAGAAACGTTTTGAGATAAACCCTATTTCCTGTTGCATTATTAGGTTGGACGGAAAGTCCTGCGACACTTTGATGAATTGTTCTAGAAAAAGACCAAAAAACATTTCGAATGTTTTCATCCCTGATTAGTGGAGACTGTCCTCTGGGGTTTCTGCACATGGGTATATCATGACTTTGTGGAAGTTTTCAAAGCTTAAAAGTCCCTCAGAGATCGAGGTACTTTTCGACCTATCCCATATTATGAGTTCCTGTAGGGCAGCCGTAGTCGAGGAAGCTAACACTTACGTTGTCTTGAGGAAGGATATCGCTTGCCATGGCAGAGGGTAGCTTTTGCATCAGCGCTTCCAGGCTGGACTTATTTAACTCGTAGTTAGGCAATGTATAGGTCGGCCACCAGCACAGAATGACGGCCCTTTACTCAAGCTTCTTGAGGCGCAGCCGAACGTAACCACCAGTAAGTTGGCAACCTCTAGGCTCCACCTAACTGACAACTGCCATGCTTCTCCGCAATCTCGGTTATCGGAAAAATTTTTTGTGAAGGATGCCTCATGAGTTGGACCCGTCTGACAAGTCATACCGAATGACCGTGACTGAGTTTTCTTTTCCTTGTACACACTGGAGGAACTTTTGTGAGATCTTGTGGTTGGTAGCGAGTGGTGGAGTCCTTGCGTACATCATGCACATGTCCCTGTCTCTCAAATAGAAAAGTAGATTGCTTAGCCAAAAACAGATGTGCATGGGATAAAGATTTCAGTGTGTTATTGGTGGGACTTCAAAGCGGTATCGCTGGATACTAGCACAGCTGTAAGGACCACAGTCCACTCTAATCAACTTCAAAACATGGATGACGTCACGCTTGAATTCATTCAGAAATACTCAATTTTTCTCTACTACTCGGCAATGCGAAGACCGCATGTGGGGATCAGGCTACGCCAAAAGATCATGGATCTTGATCAGAGAATGCGACCGTACCCAGGTTATTCAGCCTATTCATCAAAGTTAGCGGCCTCTAATTACCAGCTCCAATTGATCCCTACCGCATCCTTTAGAAAGCAAAATTCCGAAAATCGACGTCTACTCGAAAATGAGGTCCACCTCTTCTTTTTATCATAGTTGCCGTAGTTCTATGAGAATGGAAATGAGAAGCTGTGCAAAAGAAGGGCACTAGTCCTAGTCATCAATGGTGATTACCTTGTAGACTTGGAATTGTTTGAATGACGGAAAATTTGTTCCGAAAATTTGGTCAAAGTCGCAGGACTTTCCCTCCAAGCTAATAGAAAGCGCACTCGTTTGCATGATTGCATCAACGTGCGCGAAAAGTACCTGTACACAACGTTACCTTTTCTAGTATTTTTAGTCTTCAAAGCGCTTACTGTTGAAAATATCTCGCGTAGACAGGTCCACAAAAAAAACACGCTCCGAGTCAAAGTTGCCCCTCGTATATACGGGTACACCTTTTACCCTATAATAGGGTAATACGAATTAGTGCGGGGGCAATGTGAGAGTCGAGGTGTCAGCTAGATGAGCTGCTTACGATTGTTCCACAAGCTGAACCCAAAAGACACCGACCAGCATCAAAGCTTTCTCTATTGCCGAGGAAATACTTCTCGACGCTGGGTCAGAAGCGACCCCAAAAAGGGCGATTTTCATTGATGATACTATCAGGACTTTCCTGTATCCAGGACAGCAAGGTCAAGCGAAAACCATTTCTACTGACTCTATAGACGTAGAGTTGTTGAGCGTACCTTGTTCTATTCAGGGTTGGTAGGTTCTTCCCAATTACAGCACATTTTTTTCAAAATCCTTATGAGACTCACTAACCTAGTGCTAACAAGGCTGCAAGTGTAGGCCACATTGGCACAGTCAGTATTCGATACACGTTCGATTCCAATGTCTTCAAGGATTTGGAAGGTCTTCAGGAATGCTCCTTCCTCCCCTTCGAGAAGGTCGCTGAAAGAACACATCTCCTACTATCAGTAAAATTAAACAGTAACTGATTCCTGTGAACAGTGACTGACCTTTCAATCTCGGAGACGAATTTGGTTGGGAAGCATCCAAAGTGAGAGATGGCTTCACAATCACCGTTAAACAGCAGACCCTCAGCTGCCAGCGAACATAGCACGACTCGGACTAATTCACCCATATACATGCCAGAGATCATCTTCTCAAATCTGAACACGATTTCATCTCGCATATCTTTGGCTCACATTTGTATTGCAGCTATCACTGACCATAAAGTAACGCCAACCAACCCGATAATTTCGAAACCAACTCACAATTGCTTGCCAGGATTGATACTGGACGCGTCCACCTGTCTATCGAATTCGGTGAGGACAGAATCCATCGCTCCATCATCGCCGAACGCGCCCCATTCCGTATTTATGATCATCTTAATAAACGCTAGTTACCTTGAGAGGGGAGAGGGGACATTTCTAATTTTCATTTTTCAATTCTTTTGCAACGAAACACGATACGACACAAAACAATACCAATCTCATCCTGAGTGGCAACACAGCAAGCAGCGGTTGGTCGCAACCAGGGCATTTTCTTCTACCCTCAACTAGCCCGCGCTTCGCTCAGCTTAAAAGCCCATTTGGTTAGAGAAGTACAGTAGCTGTTTGCTTTAGGTATCCCAACTTCTCAGTAATGGAGCCGCACATGACGTATAGTCTTGCTCTCTGTGGACGCAGGGGAGTGATACCGCTTGGACGCGCTCACTTTTGGCTGCGGCTCATTTATGAAGTGCCTAGATCACCAAATCCGCTGAAAACTTGTATACAGGGGTAATTTAACATCCTGATTACGAATATGACATTCATTCTTGGCGCTGGCGCTAATGGATGACACTACGATTATCTGCGCTCTGCTAAGGCTGAGCCCAGAAGATAATCGTAGTGTCCTCCATTAGCGCCAGCACCAAGAATGAATGTCATATTGTAAACAGGATGTTCAATACACAAGTTCAACGGTTTAGTGATCTAGGCACTTCTTAAATGATCCTGCAGCCAAAACTCAGCGCGTCCAAATGGCAACAGCCGACGCTGGAGGTGTCAGCGATCTCACATTGGCGAGACGCCGGCCAGCTTTCCACCAATGTAATGGTCTGGCAAATTCCAAACTGGTGAAGAAGGGGCTGCCGCTGCGCCTAGACCTCCTGACAAGCCCAGCATCTGTAGCGAGCAAGACTGTGCGTTGCGTGGTCACGCCGTGCATGGAGTTCCGCATACTATTTGGGCGAAGCGCTAATTCTAATTCTGTGTGGGAATACAAAATCAGACTTGTTCAATGGTCGGCCATTGTCTTCCATATTTCGCGTAACTTAACTGGTCCCGCCGATCGCAAGGGGTCCCGCCCGTCGACCGCTGCTGGTCACGCGTTAAGAGGGCATGCCACTGTTCCCATACGACCCGAGATGTAGATGTTCTTACATGGGATTTGCCACGTCCTTCTGTTTTCTTCAATGCTCATGAGCACCTTTGCTTTTTAATAGCTGGGAACTGCGCCCAGGCTATCGCCATAACGTAACTCTCAAGTACTTTCACTGTTTTCCGAATCAGAGCATTATCTTCAGATTCTGCAGACGAATACTAGTAATTGTCAAAACATCCTGAACGTTTCCAACATCAAAGCCATACCTCGTCGGGCAAATTGTCCTCGCACATTTCACCTTCCAGTTTTCCAATTCGACACAATTTCTCCATGTAGCAGGCAATTTGCCCGTTCCTGTTGCCCACGATCAGCAACCACCTTAGATACATTGTGAATGAAGCTTAGATGTTTCGAAATGGACAAAAGTGAAGGAGGCGTGACAAATGAAGTGATCTGTGGACAAGTCATTAGATACTTAGCCTTTCAGTATCGCTACCACTAATTCGTCGTCATCCGGGCAGTTGATCAGCCGACCCCAGGGGTCGCGACGCGGCTGCAGCGCGTCACGACCGCGGCGATCAGCTGTTTCCACCCTAATTTAGCAATTTCCTCCCTAATTTTCACTGTATTTCCTATTTTTTCAAGATTATTTACGTTATTGTCTATATGAAGTTTAAACTCGTGAACTTTTTTATTTTCTCTCGTAATGGTGTGTTTTTCGCGATTTTTTTCAGGAATTTGTCTAATTGTTTTGTTTGTAATCGTTTAATTGTTCGCAAATGTTATAAAAATTCCAATTATAACTTACATTGTGAAGACAAGGAACTGCTAATCTTGGAAAACAGCCAAAAACAGTGAAAAGTAGGGAAAAAATGACTAAATTAGGCCGGAAAAAGCAAATAGTTCCTACGCACGCGGTCGCTGCTGCAGCCGCGTCTGCGGCCCGTTGACGACCGCCCTAATCAACTGCCCGGATGACGAGGGTATAAGGCGCTACAGGGACAACAAAAAAGAAAGCTTTGTGGAGAGAGCTGTATTACTGATAAGAATACATGTGTAGTCCTTTGTGTCTGTCCGTCGCTTATAATTTGATCTCCCCCCTTTTTACTGCTGATATAACCCATCCAGAACGATGGTCACGACATACCCCCCTCACCAACGTACCTTGCAAGGCGTATGCCGATATGTGGATAAATAACAAGCATTTTATGAGATGTCAAAAAACAGCAAAGCTGCGACACCATCTCGGCTACGGGACGTTCAAAAGATGGCATTATGTTTTTGAAAGTTTATGTAAACCTTGGTCTCCTGAACTGACCAATATACCTGCCACCCCACAATAATCCCACTAATGTGGATTAAAAATCGATGATGTACTCGTTTGAGCAAATGATTGAAGAGGCAATCTTTGGAAGAGAAAGAGTTGACAAGTAATATTGTCTCATGGTATTCAGCCGGGTTGACCTATTGAGGGCACCCTCCCCTTCTTTACTTGCATCCAAGAAGGCTTTCATCACTGAACATCATTTCACAATTCAAATGAAAATGTGAAAGGCCTGCGAAAATGCGAGCGAAGCAGAAAACTTTTGAACTTTTTAACAAGAACAGAAACTTACACTCCGTTCTCACCAGAACTTTTTCTAATCAACCTTGGGGCGCTCCGATATTGCATGAATCGCACAAATGCAGGGAAGTGTTGGCACGGTATCAGGTAACAAGGACTGACGTTAGCCTGACTTTTCGGCTTTTTTTGCATGAAGGAACTCAGGTGGAGCGTCATCCGTGAGTTCATTTTTTCGCAGATGGCAGGAGGAGAGGCAGTATATCTGCATTGCAGGTACTCCACTCTTCACGCAGCAACTCGGGCAGCGCTTTGGTATCAGAGTCGGGATCTCGCAGCTCTGGGTAAGGTGTAAAGAGGACTATAAAGAGGTCGCCCTTTTCAAGAGGGAAAGTTACCTATTCCAATGGTTGGATTGTAGGTTAAGGAATACCTGGTGCCAGTCCGCTTTCGGAGGAGAGCATTTCCAACAAATAAATGGGAGCACTCATGTCCTCTAGACTCCTCTCAGCCCACAATTACCTGTTTGATTCACACGCCATTCTTGGATAGCGTTTACAATTAGTGCTGCGAATAGAGGATTGTGATACAGGAGGATGAGGATTCCCGTCTAAGGCTGAAGGTAAACCGCTTCAGGGTGAGTGATTCAAGTCCTCCATTGAAATAATGGCTTCCACATCCCGGAGTACTTCAGCTTGCCAGAGTCACCATCTTTCTTTCGTACTGCACACCCCGCACCTTACCTAACTTAGTGTGCGTATTTCCAGATTCCTCAAAACCTCACAAAGAAGAAAGTGTTACCATTCTTACTTCTATGGGCACTTGCAAGACTTAACAGAAGAGTCCGGTGTGCTTACAACAATTCACAAAACGCTTTTCTCCACCTTTTGTAAGTCCTCCTCAGGAGACTTGCGTTGTCGACCACTTTATTACTGCAGCTTTTCATATCAACCTGAGACAGATTCTGGAGGCTTGACTCTCAAAGAAAGGATGGATGTAGAAAATTACCACTGGGAACCTTTACTTTTGATCAGCCAAACCAAACCTCCCCAAACCTATCAGGACGACGATAAGTATACACGAGATCCCTGAGGTCGGGTAGGCGGGGCTGCATTTTGCAACTCAACCTGAAGGTGTCTATGCTTCTGGTGGAATATTTCATCTTGACACAACTGTGTCGTGTCGCTGTCCAACATAGAATAAGATGACAGTTGCCAGACTGGAATATTCCACGAGTAACAAGTTCCGTGCCATGTCCAAATGCCACGCCTAGTCTGACTCAGGGATAAGGCGTGTATGTAGGCGCATTCACCTTGGAGGGGACATCTTGCTAGTTCCATCGAGACAAGGTGAAGCTCGACCAAATCACTTCGTAAACACTTTTTAACTCTTGCAAAGCAAATACAGCTACACATAATGAAGCTCATATAGTGTACAGTCCTCATCACTACGGAACTATTCGGGGGCGCACAGTCGCGCTGTGCACTAATGACGCCACGTGCGGCTACGACTCGTGATCAGCTGATTTCAATGGAATGCGGCTGCAAATTCCTACTTTTTCAGCTCTTTAGCTTCTAAAGTGGAAGGTGAGTTATTCTGAACAATTTTGAATTGCACTGGCTCTGATTTAATTTATTTTGATGCCTATTATTATGCCTTGTATTTCCTTGTATTTTGCCTTATTTATGGCATTTATTCAATTGGCTTGCATTCTTTCAGATTCACTCAGAGTCGGTACAATTTAAAATTGCTCAAAATAACTCACATTCCACTTTCGAAGCTTGAAGAGCTGTAAAAGTGGGAATTTGCATTGAATTCTATCGAAATCAGCTGATTCACCGTCATCGAGCTGCAGCCGCTGTCGCGCCACATTGCAGCGGCGGCTGTGCCGCCCCGACAGTCCGTAATGACAAGGCTGTGTCCGCCGAGGGACGCGTTGGGTCGTGTCAGACTGAATGAGTTTTGGCGCGGTGGCCAGAATTCCCCGATCTCCACCATTTGTTGAAGCGCGCAAGTGATATGACTGTATCATACGGTTCGTACAACTCGTTTTCTAGCACATTTTGTCGCATGCGCGCCTCAACGAGAAGGCAGAGACCGGCTTTGACGGAGTGACGCACTCATGCCGTGCCTGACACGCCCACTCCGCGCGGAATAGGTGTAGCATACATAAGTTTACAAGGGCTCAAATGTCTCATAAAAGCGGCCCAGCCTAAGCTCGCTCCATTTTGCAGCTCCGCAAGCTTTTTTGGATCTAACAATGATGGAGGGGAGGGGGGAACTGAAAACAAACCAGCGAAGTACCAAAATGTCCTATCCCTAGTCCCTTCCCCCCCACAAAATCAGGGAGACAGTGTGAGTAAACGCGCAACCACCGAGAGATGTCTATCTTCCCCAAAAGTATCAACCATGGGTCCAACGCCTTATAGATGGGAGGGAACGGCAACTCAAAAAGGGTTTGACATGACTGACATGAATGAAACCTCCCTCTGAGTGTTGCTTGTGCTTGGCCATGTGAGACAGAGGTTTGGTAACGGAATTTCTTCGGTGAAGTTTTGAACGGTAGGGGTATACAAATGCAGGACCACCGGGAAAATGAAAATGTAGTGGAGTAATGCGATAAATACGTCAAACAGTTGAAATGATAGGTGGATGAACTTAGAGAAGTTGGATGGCTTGATCTGGCAGTCTGGCTCGCCTCTTTTTACTTATACCCTAACTCATTCACGATAGCTCATCCCGTGACCACACTAAATAAGACTTACAAAAACACCTCGAGATGCACGTGCCCTGCTTTTTTTTTACGCGAAAGATGTTGCCATCGATGTCTTGTTCTACGCTTCCTTGACTATCACAATGAAAGGAGCCATAAACGGACCTGACAGCTGTTTTCCTTGAAAGCACACGCCATGAGGGTGCCAACGGTGTCATTTAGTACTGCTACCACATCAATATCGATATCCTGAATTTGGTGGACTTTTTAAAAATCGTTATCAACGAAGGGAAACAACGGAATTCTTTCACAGAGAAATCCCAGAAGTTCAATCCAGCATGGCTATGCACAGAGCACGTCACATAACTCACATCTCTTCTTCTGCAAGCTTCTCGTAACAGCGTTACGACGTCAGCGCCTTCCACATCGCTCGCATTGAACCCCTTCGTCCAGTTTATCAGCTTCGCACTTGAAATCGAATGAGTAAGAAAAACTGAAATAACTATAAACGATGAAAAAACTGGCCAATTCATCCAGCGGGAATGTGCTATCAAAATTAACGGGCCGCTCATTCCGAACTCCTTCTTTACAACTCGAAGAGAGCAAGAGAATTCCTGGCCACATACTCCTTCACTTTTTCATCGCAGAACTCAGGCCTTCTCATCACATCTACCACAGAAAGGAAAGCAGTGCTCTAACAATCAAGCGCGGCTGTTCTTGGCGACTAGAAACTTCCGACCTTCGGTTAGAAAGTTCTCAGCCACTCCAGCGATACCGAACTGGTAGGCATGTTCACCAGAGTTCCATGAATCGAAATGTCACATCCACTTTGCGCGATGTGCCCAACATTGGCTTGGTATTCTTTGAAGCGTTGACGCGGAATACTAGCAGCAACATCCAAGAATTGACTCCAGTGGGTCATAGTGGAAATCCCACATATGGGACCGCGCTTGAAGATAGCGCTGACTCGAAAGCGCTTTAATATGCCGGTCAAAGAACAGGAAATGCGGGAATACGAAGGAAGTACGCTGTAACCTAATGGAAGAATGACCTGCACCCTGGTATCCTCTTCTAGTGCACCACAAGCGTAGCATCACTCATAAAATAAGGATAAGTAAGCAGGGAGAAGGCTGCTTGCCGAAAAAAGACTCACCACGTCAGTCCTCTTTGCTTGCAAGGAAATGAGAATGTAAATCCAAGTGGAAGCTTTTCCGAAGTGTTCACACCCTGTTCGACCATGAACTTCGCCATACAGTCGGCGATGTGATCGAAAAGCTGAAATGGGGATGTTCATTAAGTAGAACTTATCCTGGAGTAATAATCGCTCTCTTGGAAGGGAAAAAGTCGGTAAAGACCTTTCCTGGTTTCATAAATATATCGCGCATAGGGCAAAAGCAGTGAAACTTCTACTATTTTCTGCTCGTCGCAGCAACGCTAGTGCCTTCCGAACACCTAAAGCTCCTGAATCATGGCCGTGTGGGTGCCGTTACTTCATCAAGTCGGCGGTATCTCAGTTGGCGAATTGAGTGAAGAGATAGAACAACGCGCAGCGCCCTCTGCCACGGGAAGCTACTGATCTGCGGTAGCGTCCCACTTCCAGGCACGGAAGGATGAGCGCCAACCTTCTTTATGTTGCTCCGCACTCCCGCTTCAGAGCCGAATTGGGCAATTGCTCACTGTTCTCGAAGTGTGAATATTCTTTCTGTGATTTTCAATATTCTGAAGAACTCACAGCTTCACCCGTTCCTCGCATGATGCTCTCAGGCACTCGGAAAAATCTTGCCAGTCATTTCTGCTTCACGGCCACTTAATCGAATGAGTAGCACTCGGAAATTAGTGCCTCCAAGATCGAGTGCCAGAAAATCACCACATTCCTTTCCGTTCGGCACCGCTCGAACGCTACGCACCGGAAGCATTGTTCACGGCGCTGTTGATGCTAAATGCGTTAATTGCATAGTTGAATTCTTAATTGCTACTCTTCTTGGAATAGCTAAGGTATCTACAACAAGATGAAAATGGGATTCAAAACTCAATCCAATATTTATTTTATATAGTTTTCCATAAATCATCAATCACCCCCTATATGTAATTTGCTTCGTCACCCACTATAGATAATTTGCTTCGTTCTGTTGTTTGTTTTTGTCTGTTTGTTTTTTGTTTGTTTGTCTGTCCGGAAATTCGGTTCGACCTGAAGAACGACTTGGAGAGGTCGGGTCAAGGTGGGGATGGGTAGGGCATGGGACAAGAAATAAAGAGCACACATGACCTATGCGAAGCCCCGCCCACAGTGGGCGGGGCATGCGCCGAAATTTTGCGGTACCGCAGAAAAAAACTCATAACTCGCTTCCAGAGCAGCCCAGAGATGGGAAAAAGTGGAATAAGGTTAGCAAGGGGTTGTCAGACTAATTATTGGAGACATTCCCAAAAATATGTATATAGAATGATCTCAAGATAAACTAAGGTGGTAAGAAAGTCGTATCAGAGTTTTCTGGAAAGTCTATAAGCTTCGATCGACACTCATGACCCATGATGTGTTATGTTATTGATTGAGAAGATTCTCTTAAAGGCAGTTGGCACGATAAATCCCCAAGACGACTAGGATCAATACTCCTGGCAGGATGGGCAGGCGCTGCATAGCGGTTTCCCCGAGGAAGGTGCCTTTATAAGGGCCCTATCAAGCTGCAAGGGGAATGTTGCACTGCGAGCTGCTTCCGCACAGGTAGACCGTCACAAGTACCATTTACGCGACTCAGCTTCAGAAGTCGCGAAAGCTGTTTGAGAGAAAGCGGTCGACACGAAATTAACTGATGATGACGTCGGACCCCCCTGTATCTGAGGAAACGCGCTGCAAATCGAGGAGCTGTTAGGAGAATAATGGACGGAGACCACACCGCACCCTCCATATTCTGCTGACAGGGCGCCGTCACCTTTTCCGACCTGCGAGATCTGTATAGACGTTCACCGAGCTGTTCCGACTCCCCTTCCCCAGTTGAAGGGAAAACGGATCGCTGACCGGCGGATTAAATGGAGCACTCTAGTGACTAACAACAGCGATTAAATTGTTCACTGGCTTCTACAGCATGTCAAACTGGAATATTAGAAAGGAGAAAGCTTTCTTTACCACTCTGATATCTACTCTTTCCTCTTCTGTCGCCATCACTTTCAATGTCCAATGAATCTGCAAGTGGTTTAGACCACTTTTACCTAAGAGCGTACCTACAACTCTCATTCGGAGAGTGGGGAAGGGGTGTGGGACAGGGAAAAAGGAAGAACAATTTGTCCTTTGCTAGCGTGCACCAGCAATTATTACGCCGCGCGATGATGGGTATTCTACGTTAGCCCTTCATGAGAAAAAGCTAGCCGTTCTTCGTTATCGATGCGAGAAGGTGAAGCCACAAGCATAATTATCTGTTTTATCTCGTCTCTCTACGTCCCCTTTGTGGAGAGCTGTTCGCGAGCAGGAACAAAAGATGCTCGTCGAT